GCCCAATTCCGAGTTAAAACAAAGAAGTTATGATCAAAACACTAAACCGGGCCTTAAACCCGACACCCTTGCAGTACAACGACCATATCTTTTGATCCATAATAGATTTTAACCTAATTCCAACGGCATGGGAAATTATACATTCAGAGATTTCCAATGGTATCTCACACGCTTAAATCCAATTTTGCAATCAAAAGTTATGAAAGTTTAAAAAATGCGTTTTCGTATAAGGCAAACCGCATCCCAGCGCAACTCAGTAAGTTGCGCACAACTGGCACGCGCGACTCATTAAGATGCACGCGGCACCCAGCGCGACTCAGAGAGTTGCGTGCACTACCTGACGGCGCGGCTCTAAAACCCTAAAACTAGATCCCTAAGTCTATAAATAGGGGTCTTCGTTTTGCATTACGGGGACCGAAAAGTCAGAATTAAAACCCTAGAATTCTCAAAACCCTAATCCCTCAACTTCTCTTACTATCATACTACTTTTTCTTCTCTCTTCCCAAATACTTTCCAACCCTAATCAAATCCATTGAAGTCCTTGGAGGTACGAAGAAGAAAGAAAGTCCATAAACGCATTAAACGAAGACTTAACATAAAAGAAGAACGGTTACTTTCCCGAGCACTTAGATAAATCACTTTTATTTTATTGTTTAAATAACTTTAATTGAATAAGTAGTGTTATTTGATCCCTTTAAACAAAATTTTAATTAATTAAGTCACATAGTATTCTTTCGTTTAATCAAGACTAGAATTTGATAATTAATTGTTGTTTTATCACTTAAGACAAGGCGAATATTGTTTATTTTGTTCTTCTCACGAATATTGATTAAACAAAGAATAATGACTTTTTCAATGTAATTCCTACGTTATTAATGCTTGTAAATAAAATCAACTAACTTATTCTTTAGCTAGGTATCATGTTTCTTATATTGTTTGGTAACGAAATTGTGAAAAAGGAAGAGCTAGTAGAGGTCGTATTAGGGCTAAGATAGTGATTCCCTTCTAAAGGGAACGTTATCTTAGTACCCTCGCTCCCGAACTCATTTCTAGTTTATGTAGACCAATTTGGGCATGGGTAAACTTACGATTCGTGCTAATTATCCCTTGAACTCTACTTAGGAGAAAGGCATGAACGAGGTTTATGAGTTTTCCTAAAACTCATTGGCGACTCCTACTTGTTTCTTACAAAAAAGCGTGATGAGAGTATCATTTCTAATTCAAGGTCTCCCAATCAGTTAGGAATTCAAATCCTAATACACCTTAACAAGTGTAAAGTCCTAGGCTTTTAAAGGGCCATGGGCATCTAAGGAGAAAGATCCCCAACGATGGGAACACCCTCCTTACAATATTCATCCCCAAATTGTATGGAACCATCTCCTTTAACCCTTGTGAAAAGCCAGTACGCAAATTTACGAGGTAAGTAACTGATAGGTATACTTAACAAGCCATCAAACCCCATTTCATTGACCACCTTCTTCCTAGAATCATCATACCGCCCAACAACACCATTCAAATTTGGAGCTTACAAAAAAAAAAAAAATCAGAGAAAGATACATTCACCAATTGCATTCCCACTAAACAAAATTATTTCCATACAACCACAATTCATGACACACACCCCCACATAGCTAAGAAACAACCAATTCCATCAAAAGTACACTAGCAAGGGCTAAAGCATTTACAGTAATTCATATATTCATATTTCATAGGAGCACAAAATAAACTTTTATTAAATTTCACAAGCAATTCTCAAATTTTTAACAACAAAATATTTAAATTATTTACAACAACGTACTTCTTACAATTACTAAGTTAGAGGACTTTAGGGGAAATAAATCCAAGTAGACTAAAAAAAAGTAATACACAACAAATCACCGAGTCCCACAAATAAAAATTGTTAAAAATATACACAAACAATTATAAAAAGATACATTCACCTGTTGCATTCCATTAAATAAAAAAAACCTCTAAAAACAAATAAGGATACACACACACATTACACTAAAACACCCAATTCCATGAAAACAAAACCATAATACCTTCTACGTCCTTCGTGATTTTAGCACAATCTCCTTCGCCTTCGCCTTCGCCTTCACCTTTTCACCCGCATTAACATGCGACAAAATTAAAACCTTATTGAAATTATAAGCCAATTAACCTTCAATATTATCAACAAAAATTTACAATTTTCAAAACATTGATTACATTTACCTTTGCCCTCTTCCCTTTCTTTTTTTCATCCTGACCACCCTTACGTTTTCCACTTTTGACACGATCTGGCAGCAGCATCACAAGAAGCTCCTCCAATGTCGGTTATCGGGATTCTTGTTGTTCATCCTCACTCACATATTCCACATTTTCCTCAGTTGCCTCATTTTTCCTTATTAGCACCATTTGAGTCAGTTGCTGCATTGGTGGAACAATCTTCTTCATAATCCCCATTTTGATCGTCAACATCATCATTAGATTCAGAATCACCCAACTCCTCTACCTCAAACACGGGATTCTCATTTATTTTCTTGCCTTTATTACCACATTTGCTTTTGGGCACGTCTTCATTGACCCGACTCAATACTGCTTTCGATGACACCTACATCAAGGTTTTAAGATATTTAATATCACCAAACAAACACAATCAAACACAAGTCCCATTCATATTTCACACACAAACTCACCAAATTCTTCCTCACAGCACCTGAGGACCCTTCACCACCTAAATTCTTCCTCTTCTTCATTTACACTACCCTCACAACAAACAACAACTTCCACATTACCATCATTTCCTCATTCAATAGTCAATTATAAGCCAAATCATAAAACACGCTCAACACAACTAATCAAATTAATAATACCACAATCCATATCAAATTACTAAATCCACATTCCATATCAAATACTAAATCCGCAATCCATATCAAATACTAAAATCCTTTACTAAATCAAATACTTTACTAATAATTATATCACAAAACTTCAACAACATTAATAAATCCACATTCCATATCTAATAAACCCATACTTTACTAATAATTGATTAACAGAACTTCGTAAACGATCACATTATCAATTTCACAATGCCTAATATAAAACAATTTCCAATTTTACGTCAAATAACAAATTCATCCACTTGCCCCCAAAATGCAAACCCCAATTTCCTACAAAACACCACATTTCTTAAATTTTAAGCAATTACCAATTTACGAATCCAAAATTAAACAATATTAGCAATTTACAAACAAACTAAATCAATAATTATATGCAAAAACCTAACTTTGACAAAAACAACAATTTTCAACCCTAATTTCGACTACACTACTTCGTTGCAGTAATTTCGAAGTATTTCACCCCTCACCACGTACACCTCTCAACACAAACTTAATGGATGTATAAAAGGTTTCCGACCACATACTTGCAAACACCACGCCTTTTCGACGAATACCCGCACAGACTCACTTCCTTTCTTTAAATTCTCTGTCCCCGACAAATCCCATTGTCGACCAACAAAGGAGAATGTCAACAAACACCACCCATAACTAACCGCTCTCACGAAAATGGTCCTCAAGTAAAGAGCTCAGAGTGCGAGAAGAGAGAGAAAATTATTTGAGTTTTTAAAACAGGGAGAAGAGAGAGAAACATAAAGTCCTCTGCCTTTTCACTTCCCTTTTAAAGCTCCGTTACAATTCAAAATATTACAGGCCAACGAAAGGTCAAACTACATCAACTTTTTAGTTTTTTAAAATGCCCCAACTGAAATGACTTACCTGTCCTCCTATATACATAACTCTCGTATAGGAGCCATGCGCCTAGGGATACTCCTTTAAATATATAATCCATAACCTTTCTTACTTTTATAGAACTCCAATGCCTAATCATAGATCCTTTCCAAGATTGCTATCATGTATAGTCAACAACATATTACCTATAGACAAAATAACTTGCTAATTTCAACTACTTATCTTTTAATACAACAAGCTATTTTGACAATACATTAAATTAAGCTCCCATAATTAGCATGTTAATAACATCCCAAACTACGAAACACAATCATATCCACGTAGCTTACACATCTCACCGTGGGGCTAGCGCGTGCTCTAATGACTAGTAATATATATATAAAAAAGTAATCTAAAAAAATGTCTTTAAGTAAGGAAAAATAAGTAAAGCTAATAAGGCACTCTACACTTTATTTTTGCTATAATGAAATTATTTTTATTGAAATGAAATTATTTTTGCTGAACTAAAATTATTTTTAATGAAATGATCTTATTTTTGTTGAACTAATTAATTTTTTTTTACTGGTTTTCTATTATGTTTCTTCTGTAAAATTTACTGATATTTACTGAATTGAAATTATTTTTACTAAACTAAAATTATTTTTGATGAACTAAACTTACTGAACTGAAATTATTTTTATCAAATATTTTTCTTTTTAACCTGAATTGAATAGGGCGTAAGTATTATAACTTCCTTACATAATCCATGTAACAATTACTTCCTCCGTATTCTAATAGTTGCAACACACACCTTTTTACGACATTTAAGAAATGTGGAGTTCACATGATATAATACACTTTAAAATGAGGCGAGTGGTTATTAGAAGAGTAGTTTAGTGGATCATTTGCTTTAAATAAGGGAAATAGTATAGTTTTTTCCTAAAATAAATTTCCATATATATATAGTGTGATACGAGTAATGTGATATTTTTATTTTTGAAAACTGTTGTCCAAAAAAAAAAAATAGAGGAAGTATGTAATAATCTGATTGTTCCACCTAACAATGAAAATTTATCCAAAATCTCAAATTCAATTTTTAGTTTTTTTTGGGTGTGTATAGGTTGGATTTTATAACTTTCCCAAAAATGAATGATATTTCAAAAAATAAAACGCGGACGAAGGTGTGTGGATGTTGGTGAGCCACCACGTTGCCAGCTGGCTGTCGGACACTGCATCTTTCCCCCTCTAAAGATCTCACAACAACACTCCTTTTCTCTCTTTCTTTCTCTTTCTCTTTCTCATACCAGCACGTGACTCACGTCCTCCCTCCCTTCCTACCCCACCCTTTTCTCTCTCCTCCATTTCAATTTTCTCACTTTCTTTCAGATCATCTTCAACATTAACAAATTAATTCACTCTCTAATAAAATCGAAATCAATAAATCTTCCATTTTTCATTTCTCTCTTCTTTCTTTTGGATCCGACTACTGGGTTTTCTCATCAATCTTCCGAGTTTTACATTTTTGCGCACTCTCAATTCTCCATTGAAGAAGCTTCTGAGTTTTCTCTCTCCATTCAAACCAGATTCTGAGGTAACATTTTTGTTATTTTTTTTTTATTTCGCAATCTAGGGTTTCGTTGATTTGATTTAGGGTTTTATTTCTTCAACTATTTACTATTTGTTATGATTATTCTGGATTATAACGACCGATTTTGTTGCTAGAGAATGATTTTAATGCGTCTAATCTTGATTGATTGAGTCAGATTTGGTTGCTAATGTGTTGTTTATAATCCTTTAATTGTTGTGATTACTCAAGATCGTATTAGGGTTTTAATCGTTCTGCTGTATTTTCGGAAAATAATTAATCTTTTGCTAATTCGTTAGATTTTTATTTTGGAAGAAAGCAAATTCGTTAGTTTAATGCTTACGAACTATCTGGTTTCGTCGTTGAGGGTCTTTTGATCAATGACGACTATGACATTTGGAAATCTTGTCAATGGTGTTAAGAATTGTGAACTTAAATTTTGTGCACCACTTAAAAGACTCTTGTTGTGTATTCTGTACTACTATGCATTCGATTCGTCGGGCAATCATTAGATATCCTTTTGTTAGGCTAACTAGTTGCGCCGAGAACTCTAAACATTTGTATAGGTGGGTGATGGTTCATTTATGACTTGCTGGTTGTAGTAATATTAGAATATCCTTAGCAGTAAGTTGTCATTGCAGGATTGCAGGAAGCCGGGGATTTTGTTGCTTCATATATTGAAGCATTAATTAACTATAACTAAATAGGAAAAGATTATAATGAGCCACTTTTGAAATAACATTGGTGGCTATGCTGATGCCACCTACTTCAGCTAAATTTATCTCGTTACTTGCTTTTGGTTGCTGACCTTTGTGTTAGTTTGTGAATTCAGAAATCTTAGATCAACATTATTGGGATGTCATTCTGTCGAGTTACCAACGATCGGGGTTCTTTGCAAATTAATTGATCGCAACAAAATGTGTACGGAGTTTCATATATTGATAATACCCAATATGTCGTTCTTGTAATTTTCGTGAGTAGTGTTCTTATTTCATATACTTCCTGTGTTTTTTTAGATGAGACACTTCTCTTTTCACGCTTGTCAATGCATGTCTCCAACCATTAATATCTCTAATTATCAATAGTTAAAAACTATTAAAAGAAAATATATACCGAGCCGAAGCTGAAAGGAACCCACATTAATATATCTTTCCTTAAGTATAAGTAACCAGAAATAGAGAAAGTAGAGTAAGTGTATAGTTTCTGACAAAGCCAAATCTATTATGTAAGTCGGATATCTCAAAGAACAATTAATAATCTTTCTAGAAGAATATGTAGACAAGGTTTTCTTTTAATCATTTCAATGTTATTCTTTATGGAGGGTCTTCTCAACCTTTGGCTCCCAAGAGTGGAAAAATAAAGTATAGTGGGAAATTTTCTATAAAATATGTTGTCATGTTCTACTGCATTATTATTATGTATGTTGTTTCTTTAACCAGCACAAATATTATTTATTAAGATCTGTATTCTGTGAGGCCTTTGGTTTAACCGTGTAAAATATTGTGAATGATATGAGAACATCTAATTTGTCGAGTTGTTATGTGTGTGCTTGTAACTTGTGTACTCCATTTATATCTTTTTTCATCCTAGTAGTGTTCTGGATGTAGCTTTGGGATGAAAGTCTGGTCAGAATGATTTAGATTAGACTTTACTGCAGGCATTGAAAGTTGGGTACTGGGTTTCAATTGTATTAGGTCATCTGAAGAGGATGTTTTAAAAAATATGTATCAACTGAGTTCATTAGCTGCTGTTTTCACCTGAGTTTAACTGATTTACTTTTGTGTATGGGATGCCAACCCTATTTTGTTGCCTTTACCAGTATAGTTGATGGGAGGATTTTAATTTATAGGAAATCTGATTTGATTCTATTATCTGAAATGCACAGGCTGTGTGCCTCAAGGTCATGGGATGCAAAATTAAGCCAATGATTTGTTGTTTTGATACGACATCTGGATGGGAAGGGGTTTTTATGGGGTAATAAGTGGGGGCGAAATGGTTTTGCATTCCAAATATTTGACAACATGGAAGAGACACATGATGATACTGGGCAAACAGAACTGGGGTCTTCTAATTCTACCTGGTGGGATTCAGATTTTGTGGAAGATTTTGGATCGGTTTCTTTGACTTCTCAAGAACGCAAGGAAGCCATTAGACACAATGAGCAGGATGAGCAGTTCTCTGAGACAGCATCTCAGATTCTCTGGAGCACTGGAGTGCTCTCTGAAGCTATTCCAAATGGCTTTTATTCTGTTGTTCCGGTAAGTAGCTTTGCTTTACCTGTTGTTTCATCTGCTTTTATCATTCTATGTTATTTTAAAATGCGGTTTAGGTATACCTAAAATTTTACAGCTGTTAATACATTAGGTCATAGGCTGTGTTAGTAATGTTGGATTGTTGGTTGCCAGAGAAAAAATGATCCTTCTGTAATTTTTTATTTTTCTAATTTCTTCTATTTTATTTTTGCATGAATGATGGTTAGGCAAGGAAAGTTTTCTAAACTTTCTTATCACAATGGTTATGAGACTTATCATATTTATGTGTTATACTTTGCAGGATAAGAAGCTTAAGGAGATGTTTGATCGTCTTCCTACGCTAGATGAGCTTTCTACTTTGGAAGCTGACGGCCTCAGGGCTGATATAATTCTTGTAGATGCCCAGAGGGATAAGAAACTTCATATGTTAAAGCAACTTATAACGGCTTTAGTTAAAGGATTAAACTCAAATCCGGCTGCTATAATAAAGAAGATTGCTGGATTGGTGAGCACTACTTAACAATATTGTCTTGTCACTCCTACCTCGTTATTGTGGCTTTTAACTTGATTTATATCATTTTATATATATATTCTAGCCTATAATTTGTTAACCTCTCTATCTAGTTGTTTGTTATTTCTGTTTATTGTTACAGATTCGTTTGCTTACACAATCCCTAAATTAATACTCTCATCCTTGGATGGGGTGAACCAAAATGCCGCAGGAAAAGTAAAAATTTCCAAAGAAATAAGAAAGAGGAAGCCCCACCTTTGGCATCAATTATACAAATCATTTCTTTCACCATTACTTTCGAGATTGCTATTTACTACCATTCTTTGCTATGTATCCACCATACTACTGTTTATTTATATGTGTGATCTTATATTATGTCCTTTCTATTAGAATTTTCACATTTGTCTAACAACAACAAATCTAAAGCTTTATCCTCAAGGGGATGGGGTTGGGCCTGTCAGCTGAAAGAAGGAGGTTGAAGAAAGAGAAGGTAATTGATGCTAGGGAGGAGGGAGGTGGGTGAGAGGTAGGAAGCTGACGAGCTAATTGTTAATGTGAGAGAATGAGAGGAAAAAAGGAGGTGGGTGATACAAGTGAGGGGGTTGGGTTTTGTTTTAAGGTTTGCCGGGTTGTCAGATTTGATGAAAAAGCATTGGTCGGTATTTCGGTTGATGTGGTAGGTGTCTAAAGTTAGCCATAATTTCGGTTGGTTAATTTTATGGCGGTTAAGAACTCAATCTGTCAAATTACCCAGCCAACCTTAAAACATAAATGGACCAGACTTTAAACTAGACCAGAGTAGAAAAAAAAAATCAAATTTCAGATATATTTTCTAGTTACTTCGTGTTACTTATTCTTGTTAAAACCACATCAGACCAGATGAGGCCATACCAAATCATAAATATCACGACCATCCACATCAAACAATAGTATGAGGATGAGTTAGACTAGAAATAAAATTCAATAAAATCAACACCAGATGAGACTAGACCAAATCTGATCATACTAGACCCGACCGGACCAGAAATTGAAAAATTCAGACGAGAATACATTAAATTAAATAAGGTGAAGAGAACCAAACCATGATACCTCGGACATCTTAGTGGTCGAAAATTTCTGTTTAAAGTACGATTTTTTGTTGTGATATGAAATGCCCATATGCTCTGAATTTTTACCTTTTCCTCCTCTTTTGAAGGCATCAGATGGCTGATGTAGCCATAAAATTTAGATCATAATCTGCTTATTTATGTGTGGCAATAATGGTTTCCTATCATGGACGTGTGTGTTTTAATATGGGGTTGATTTGACAAAGATTCTGGTCAGCAAAGCTGAATGACCATGGACTCTTTCATATTGTTTCCAGCTATTGGTTTGGTGGCTGGGAAGATAGAGTGTTTATTGGTCCATAGGCGGCAGTGATGGGAGTTTGAGGAATTTTTTTGGTTTGAGTGGTGGAGCATTGGAGCAAGCTCAAAATGGAATTTGGATATGGCATTGGAGCTTTAGGGTGGAGGAAGTGCTGGTTGGTTGGACATAGACCTGATCAAGCCAAGCCCAGCCCGACCCAGCCCAAAAAACCCCGGGTTGGACAGATTTTGGGGCCCTGGCTCTAAATAGAATGGGTTTGGGCAGCCCGAAAAATCAATTTAAAGTTAAAATTTTGGCCCGGCCTGATTTTGTCCAAAATGGCGGGTTTGGGCAGATCTTTTGGGCAAAGCCCGGCCTGGCCTTACCCATGATCACCTCTAGTTGGACATGACAACGGTATTGGGGGACTGGGGGTAGTGCAAATATGCTGCATCAGCTTGTAGTTATATGATCATTCAAATTCTTCCATAGTTCCATGGTGTTAATGCATTGCTCTAGATAATATTGTCTTGCTGGTCAGTTAGCATGGTGCTTTTGTAAACTTCTAAGTGCTTGTTTGATTAACCTTAAAACATGTGGGCAATGAAAATTCATGGGAATTTGCAAAGGGGGTTACTATTTGGTTGACAACAAATTGTGAAAATGGAGGAATTGGAAATTCATGGGAATTAAAACTTCCCACAAAACATGGGAAATAAATTACCCACCTCCCCCTTGGTCACTCAAAATTCCTATGAATTACAAATTTCTTATGGCTATTTTCTAGGAATTGTGTAAAGGAAATAAATTCCCATGAATTACAAATTACCTTGAGAATTTTAGTTCCCATGTCATGATGTCAACCAAAAAAGCCCTAGGTTTTGCTTTTATTATCCTTTTCTGCTGGTTCTTGTCTATAAATTTAAGTTATGGTCTGTGTGCCTCAAGATTTTATGGGAAATTGACGACATAGAATCTCACAGAAGATACGAAAGGGGCATTTTGTTTCACATTAATTTTGTTTGATTTTACAGATTGCATCTTGTCAAGGTTTCTTTTTTGTTTAGTTACTTGACAGCTGGCACAAGATGCATTTAAAGTTATTAAAAAAAATATATATTTACCAAACCAAGAGGAAGAAATTGCTTATCGCATATCTCAAGTTCTCAACTGATCATAATTCTCACATATCAAGCCCGCCAAATCCCAAGATTTTCTCTATGCTTCAGAATAAACTCACCATCAAAATTTTCTTGCATCACCAAATAAAATTTAAATACCAAAAAAGACACTCAGCAGCAACATCAATATCTGGAAATTGCTTTAAATCATATAATGCAGATGCAAAATGCTGAATTTCAGCATGGATACTAGAGTTACTTGATAATTTATATCATTTAAATGGAAAAAGGGCACATAAGTCATATGAGTTCAAAGGATACGTGTCTTTCTGTACAAAACTAGGAGATACATTGACAATGAGCTTACTGGTTTTTCTCTCCAAAGAATTATTCAGAGAACTATGTTTTGTGCTTCATTGATACTTGCCTTATAGATTTTCCTCATTTAGCTGGCATTTTTATGTACATAATTATATATAAACTGATATTAATTTTCCTCTTACTGTTACTCTGACAGGTTTCTGATCTCTATAAACGTCCTAATTTGGAATCCAGTCCTGTGAAGTCTCTTCTAGAGGAAGCTTCTCAAGGTTCCATGTCTCGTGGGGTTCAGTTGCTTGGTCAAATAAAAAATGGTTCATGTCGTCCTCGTGCAATTTTATTCAAAGTTCTGGCAGATACTGTTGGTCTAGAGAGTAAGCTTATGGTGGTATGTTACCCTCATCTTGAGACTGGTTCAGAATTCTTTTCTCAATGTTATCTTGTCTTAATGTATCTAGTCTCTGTTTCCATATTTTCTTCTTCTAGGGATTGCCCAATGATGAAAGAATTGAGTGTGCAGATTCATCTAAGCATATGTCTGTGGTAGTAGTATTGAATTCAGTGGAACTTCTGGTTGATCTCATGAGGTTTCCTGGTCAACTGATTCCTCGATCTACCAGGGCTATTTTTTTAACCCATATTTCCGCAGCAGGGGAGAGTGACTCTGCAGAAAATGATTCTTGTGACTCTCCACTTGAGCCCAACAGTCCTATGTGTGGATTTTCTGAAAGAGTTGATCAAGAAAGGTTAGTTAGAGCAAGATTGCTATGTCCTATTATATGTTAAAAAGTAATCTTAATTTCTTATATTATTGGCAATTCAGGCTTTGATACGATGTCCAGAAAGATTGTATGTTAAGACTATATATTGCTATTTAAGTTGTGGTATATGATTGTTCATGACTGTAAATATTATATAGATCCTTGAATCTCCTACTAAAACAAGTGGAGGTTTTTTTTTTTTTTCAGAAAATGTTGTTCCTTCTTGCTAGTTTTTATATTTTCTCGTATTGAGCATCTGCATCTTATGTTTTGAAAAGGATATCCAGACATGATGTTGATAAAGGTTGTTCTATTTTGGAAGAAAGAAAAAACTGATGGTGGGTTTATTTGGAGCATATTGAAAACTTTAGGGTTTAAAGGGTTTGTTTTTGTGAGGGTTATAGTTTGTTGAGATGTGTGTTATTTATTACTACCTTCTCTTGGTTTTGTGAATATAATTATATTTCTAAACCATTGGTGTACACTGTCAAGTAACTGAACGAAAAAAAAAAACTGCACCTGGAGGGATGGAATATGTATGTCTAGTTGTCGACTCGGGCTGTGAAAGTCCACTTGGAAATAGTTATTTTTATATTGATATGGGGAGGTGTTCCTGGAGAACCTGTGATGATATGAATAGCCTGTTGCAATACCGCAATGTGTAAATAAACTGATCAGGCCACTAAGAAGTTTCTTAGTTTTTTAACCACTAGCCACTTGCCCATCAGATACTTTTTTTATCTCCTGTGGTCGTTCACAAAGATATTCTTTTTCAATTCTACTGAATATTGCTTGTTCTTGCAATTTCATTTTTTTCATGTTATTTTTACCTCCCTCCATTCAAGTCTTCTTTGGCCTCCCTGAGCATCAAACATTTCAGTTATTTTAACTCTCCTCTGTCCTTGCTGGTGTATCTTTGGGTTGATGTAAGCGTCAATAGTTGCAACTTTAACTTCAATATATTCTTTCATAAATTGTAGTTGTTTAGGTATGCTTTGAAAATTGTTAATTTATACATTAAAATCTAAAACTAATTGAAGATTCAACATGATTAAGTATAGTTCTCCGTCTTGTATCTCTTAGGTCCATTCAATGTATGTAACATAAAGGCGAGGGTTGCTCCATATCGACCCATAGACATGGTTGCTAGATACATTTTGTCAATGTTCTTTTATTTACTTCAGTGCAGAGAAAGATGATACTGGTCAATTCGCGAGGAGGTTTGATATGAATGCTGCTGGTCCTTCGCTGCAAAATAGAGTGCTTAGAACTGCTACTCTTGAAAGAAGATTGAGGTATTTGACCCGTTTCCATCTACTTCGACATTTTATGCCAAGGACTTGAGTCTCTCTCTCTCTCTTTCTCTGGGGAAGGGGGTATCTTAATGAATACATATACCAATTAAGGATTTGTGTGTCTTCCTAGTTCAATTTTTTGCCATATTAGTGCTCAGGTTGGGCTGATTATTTAACAAGCCTCAGTTTATCACATAGTGAACCGAACATCGCGACTACATTTTGGAGACGGAGTCGGAGGAAGGTCATTGCTGAACAGCGGACTGCTAGTTCAAGGTGTTCCTTGGTTCCACTTCCATCTTCAAGTGATGAGGAACTTTTTTATTTTTATTTTATTATTTTTATTATTTTTTTATGTGTTTGTTGAAAATGTATCTTAATTCTGCAGTTATTGTTCATTAGGTTTGAAATTAGCTACTAGAATTTGGCTGTTGAAATCTTAAGCCGTTTGGGCATCCTAGTTGACAATCTTGACATCTATTGTGAAGGTTAATATTGCTTTGTGTAGAACTGAGATTAGTGTAATTGATTAATGATGTACAAAAGTGATGGTTAATTACTACTCCCTCCGTTTTTAAATACTTGCTTCATTTCTTTATATGCGGAGCTTTAGGAGAAATTGCAGAAAGTAAAAAAATATGGAGGTAGTGGGGTAGGTGGAAGAATAAAAAATTGTAAAAAGTTAAAGTAGTTGAGAGAATTGGAGGAGAGAGAATATGAAATTAATAAAATATGATTTATGTTGGTCCACTAGTTGAGAGAAAGGAGTTAAATATTGTAAAAGCTTTCCAAATAAGGGAATGGAGCAAGTATTCGAAAACGGCTAGAAATGGAAATTGGAGCAAGTATTTAAAATGGAGGGAGTAATAGTTAATGGCATACATGAATGATGCTCTAGTAGTGCTTGTTGCCGATTCAAATATTGAAAAGAAATAATTCTATACTAGTATACCAAATTAGCATCATAATATATAGTACCTGTCAATTTCCTGTTATCTTAAACTAAGGAGATATGAGGTCTTGGCATTTCATTTCTATTCCTCATATGTGGTTAAAATTATCTTCTGTCTACTACTAAGAAGCTTATTCATATTGATGAAACTAGATGGTGACTACATTTTGTTGATGTCATTTCTTTGATTTGTTATGTTGTATCAGTTCTTTGTTTAGTCACACAAAATGTTAAGTTCCTTTGTTGATTTGTGTGTACTAGCACAATTAGGTTGTGCCTTTGTTGCATATCAGCTCTCGCGCTATGTTGTTTGTCAACATGATTTTTTTTATAGAACCCAAGATGCGATTGAGGAAAGTTAGCATGTTTGTCTTCTCATTTATTGCTGTCAAAATCAAATAGCTAGCTACTTTTTCAAATTTTTTTATTTATTTTTTTTTCCAAAAAATTGAAGTAGATGCAGATCCTGTATCTTATAGCGTAATTTATATGTTTCTGCAGTAGGTAATGCAACGTTTTTATACTGGCATTGAGAATGCAAGTCATGGACACTCTGCAGGTTCATAACTAGGTTTTATATTTCCCTTGTGGTGGAGAGCAGGGTTAAACTAGGTCTAATATTTTAATGGCTAAGTACTTGGGACTTGGGAAAATACATTTTTGGATCATTGGCTAATCCTGATGACTGATGTAGCCATTTATTGCCTCAGCAGAAGAAAATTTCTGCCTCCAAACTCTCATGTTACAATTCAGTAATCTGTCATAAAATTATTCTATCAAAATGCAGTGCTGCACTCGAGTTGCCTTTTTCCTTCTTTTTTGTATTGAGATATTGATAATATATGCTTTGTCTGAGCAGGGATGTCCGACTCAGTTTTCGTTTTTGGGGTGTTTCAGAAAGTTTGACCTATTTTATTTTAATCATTGTTGGCAAACCCTATTTACTACCTTACCCTTCTTACTCCACACTGTTTACATCTCTCCACTCACTCTCTTACCTTATCCATGTTTTTCTTATACCCACCCACTTTTTCATTCTTTATACTAACTTTATCCACCGTTTTCTTAAACCCCCTCGCTTTTTTACAAACTGCAGCTAGGGGGCATTTGGTACAGGGTATTTTGGAAAGGGTAAGTGGATCAAAAGAGTTGATTCCCTTTGTTGATGTTTGCAGTAATATTTAGGTCATTGCCTTTACCTTCTCCATTCTCCCAAACTTTTTTCTATGTTGATTCCCTCCTCCCCTCTACTCATTTTAATTTCCTTTCCTTAGCCACCACCACACCACCATAAATCTACCTCCACCCCCACCCCCACCATTAATCTACCTCCATCCCCACCATAAATCTACCTCCATCCTCACCACTAATTCACCACCGTTGGCACCTTTTTTTTGTTTTTTTTTTAAATTTTTATTTTTATCAGCATCAACCCACCACCACCGGTCCACCTTCAGTGGCATCGGCCTCACCACCATTGTTGGCGTCATCACCAAACCCACCGAACTTCACAAAATCCACCAAATCACTACAGCCAGACTCCATAGAATCCACCCAACCACTGCCTGTAACCCTATAACACCCCAATCCAACTTGAAAATTCACCCCTCATCCATCAAAAATTCACACACCACCAATTACGTACCCCCACAACTTAAAACCCTTCCCATCACCACCTGCATTCCTAAGATCTAGATTTGAGAAAAAGAGTGAAAGAGAAAATAAATTTGGGGGGTGGGGGGATGATGGTTGTAGTCTTGTTGGAGGTCGCCACCTCTCTGGAGAGGGTGGTGTGATGGGTGTCTGATTTTAGTGACCCTAAAAGCATTCGATAGATTATTGTGTTTGAAGTCCTCTTAGTGGTAAAGGTTGTAATACGGTGAATGGTGGTGATATTTTTGTTTCCCTTTCTGCTTCTTTAATCTACACAAACATATCAAACCAGGACTTTCTTCTTGTAAATGTCTTATGATTGTGGATAAAATGTTAAAAACAACCAGTGCTCCTGAATCCCTAATTGTATAACAGATGTTCATGACAATGATTTTCTTGTGATTGACTGAATGATTTCATTACTTGCTTACCATGTGGCCTTTAGCCCATTAAATCAGTGCTTTTAAGAAACCAACTGCTTTACATTGCTTGGTTATATAAGTTTTTTCCCAAAACTGTTTAGTAGCTCTTTTTGTTATTATTTTTAGTTTTTGTTAAACCTTTCTCTGTCATAGAATGGGGAAATATACAAATAAGGAAAAAAAAAAAGGAAAAGGAGCTTATCTGTTCTTGTAATGTTATTTGCACCTCTTATTTAAGGGAATGGGTCACAATGTCACATAAGTGTGCTTATGCTGTTCATTTGGTGGTATTTTATGTCAAAAAGTATGTCTACCTTTGCTCAATGTCAACCATGTCATTGAACTTTTAGATGTATGATAGATGTATGGCTTCTGGATTTTGCTTATCTATATAAATTTTTTATGGTTGTAGTCCTGAGCATCCTTCACTTCGCGCGCGAGGTCGGTCAATGCTTGGTGGTGAAAGAAAAACCTTTAGAGATTTTGCTGATGATGCTGATTCATCAAGGTCTGTAACATCTAAATTCTTCTCTGCTAAGTGTTTGTATAGTAATAAGGAAAAACCTCTGAATCATATTTTGAGAATTTGAGGTATATATTGAATTAGTGAGGCAGAGTCCTAAATTGATTGAATTTGATTCTGATCTTTATTGGAATATCCTTCATAACGATGGCATAACTTGCCTGTTTTAACTTTAGTAAGAACTCTAAAGATTTCATCTCTGAATTTGCTTAGGGATCTTCCATGGTTTGTAACATTCCCAGATTGTCCATTTTTATAACAATGGCATGATCTATCAAGGGATTGCATCTTGGAACATTAATCCTAACGATGGCATAATTTATCTGTTTTAACTTTAGTAAAAACTTAGAATTCATATTGGCATTTTCTTAGGGATTTCGTATGGTTTGTACCATTTCTAGGTTGCCCTCTTGAATTGAGGGAGTGAAGGTAGGAGGCCTTTGATTTATTTAAGTTTTGTCAATGTTTGCACTCTTGTTTTTATGTGATATATATTCCCAAATCTGTGAATTTGCTTTCTGGTTAGGGGCTCTCTCTCATTTAATTTAATTTATTGTTTATTTTAAAGTTTTTTCTGACAACTTTTTTTTTTTTTTTAATAAAAAATTCTGCTGTTGGTTCTTGTGTACAGATCAGTTGGTGTACCAACATCTGAAGCTCGTAGATTACGACGAAGGAGCATCAGCATCACCCCAGAAATTGGTGACGATATCGTGAGGTTTGTGTTTCTGGTGTTTGTGTTTAAGCTTGCACATCTGTCGAAGAATGTTGGTCAAATCTATCAGTCTGGGAATAAAATTGTTTTATAGTGAGGCATCAGGTACATGGGCTGAATTTATCATTATACTGTGCAGGAAAAAGTTGATTAGTGTTTTAAGTGAATTGTGCCTGTATTTTTTTTTTTTTTCATGATTTTCAACAATCAAACTTATTGTACTTTTCTGGATTTCATCCAGATTATTATTGTTTCCTGGAGAATGACTGACAGACGTGACAGTCATCTTTTGTGATGGATGCAAGTTGAGCTGTTCTGGCCCAAAATGCATCTGCTGTGATTATTTCCTTTTATGAGCCAGACAAATTATAAAATACTGTTCTGCCATCGGATACATGATTAGCCAAACTGACATATTATGCCTTTTGTTTTATATTATATTACTTGGAACAATTTATGTTGCTTGAGCAGGGTTCATATTAAAGAGAATTGTTTGACCCTGGAAATCCTTAATTACTTGCTTTTTAATATTGTGGGTATGGTTTACATTCTTATGTATGTGTGTTTTAAATTTTCAGGGCTGTGCGAGCAATGAATGAGACGTTGAAGCAAAACCGTATTTTGAGAGATCGGGGTGAGGACAGGTCTCTTCCCACTTCGCCCAGCAGTACTAACGCTGGTGTCAATCCTGAGACAAATGTATGTAGGTTTCACTTTATCGTAGACTGTATGTATGTTGGTCTAAAAGGGAATTACTCTTTGATATACAGTTTCCTCTCTAGATTCTATCATGTTTGCTACTTAGAGCATGTTTGGTAAGAGTTATTTTGGGTTGGAAACGGATTCAATTTAACTATTACCGTTGCCAATGGCTTGGTTAGAAGGTTTAGGTAACAATAACCATTACCTAGGGGTAATGGTTTCCACCTATTTGTTACCTCTCTAAAACTTAAGGTAACAATTGCCCTTACCCCTCCTTGAACAAAAATAAAGGGAGTTAGGTGTAAGTGATTCCTTTTCATGGTTAAACCAAACAAATTTAAAGGTAAGAGTTAAATGATTCCTTTCCTCCCTCTTATATGTTTCCTTTCCACTCTATTTCCAATACCCTAACCAAACGCCCCCTTAATGTATGAAAAAAAAATGTTTATTCTACTGTTTAATATGTACTACATAGTTCTTTGATTTAAAAATCTTCCTTTTTCCTGCTTATTTGCTTCTTTTTTTTTTTTAATTTCTTTTTATTATTATTATTTTTTTTGAGTTGACTACAGAAACTTGTAAGGTGGATTCTGATGGTCAATATCCTATCTGATAGCACATTGTTGCTCAAATCTCCGTCTAGATTTTCAATTTTCATTTTATTAGTTTTTTCTATTTTTCCTTTGGGAACAGATGTAAAGTGTTGCATGTGTCTTAGGACCATGTAAGCCTGCTTGAAAAAGAAAAATGTTCTTGACGAGAGTGTATTAGACTGCATAGAACTTATCAGTGTTACTGACCAATTTATCCTTCCACATTCAGGCTTCTGATTTCCGTCTTGGGAATCGAGATGAAATTTCTGGGGCCAGATCTGCTTTATATGCTCTGCATGGGGAGCAAAGTACTCAAAAAGCTGTATCACTACCATCATCTCCTCATCAATACATGAGTCGAACCTTAGAAAGGAATATGACATCAGGACAGGCTCCAAGTGATGAAATGGTGTCAACATGGAATAAAATTTTGGAAGCGCGCATGTATCGTGACAAATCCCTGCTTCCTTATGATGAATGGAATATTGATTTTTCTGAGTTGACTGTTGGAACTCGTGTTGGAATCGGTAAGCCCTCTTCTCTTGCTCTTCTGTTGTGTACTGGAGCTGTGAAACTGTTAGGAACTGCTGATGCTACTGTAAATATGCTGTAACTGTGGTCCAGGTGTTCATTGCAAGTCTAAGCTGTCTATATTTGGTACTCTTAGCTCTTAGCTGCATAACAATAGCAATGTTAAGGGTAAAATTGATTAATTAGCCTAGGGATTAGGAAATGTAAGATAGATTGAACATGTGGATAGTAATGTATAAACGATGTGCCAAAGGAATGGTTGTGGAGATTGACAGGCCTAAAATTTTGCAGTTGTGCAGCTGGAAAAGGATAAAATCAGACACTTGTATGGCAGGCCTCATGTGTCCTTCATAAGGCTCTCTATTAGAAACCATATCCACGTGACTTGTCGACTACCTTCTGTCTACATTATTTTGTTTGGATTCAGTGACAAACTAATAGGCTTTGATTATTGGTTTATAATTAAAAGGAAATTGTTAAACCAAAGGTCTTACTTGGGTTTTGAATGCTTTTATGGCATGTCTCTGATTGAAATCCTTATTTAGTCTATGGGAGTGTCATTCCTTTTCTACTTGTCAGATTCTAAGACTTGGTCAAAGATCTTTATTATGTTGTTTTTCTGTTACTACGGAGCAAAATATACGATACAAACAAATCATATTGTTTTTAATGAAAGGTGATAACTTTCTCCACAGTTGAAGATGTAAACATAAAATAGTATATGTGACTATTAATTTTGATTGAACGAGTAATTTTTAACAGATCTTTTTGCTACACCATTTATAAAGTATAATTACCATTTTTTGTTAATTATGTTATCTTTCTTCATTAACTAGGATTCTTTGGGGAAGTTTTTCGAGGAATATGGAATGGGACGGATGTTGCCATCAAATTGTTTTTAGAGCAGGATCTGACTTCTGAAAACATGGAGGACTTCTGCAATGAAATAGCTATTCTTAGGTACTACATTTATTTTTATTTTTTTTTGTTCTTTTTTGTTTTGTGAAATCTAACACCTTTTCTTTTTCCCGTGTTGCCTCCAGCCGCCTTCGACACCCAAATGGTAACCATCTTATCTTGTTATAATTGCATTTTCAAAAATAATATCTGCATCTGGCTCGTTATTTGCAAAATTTGGCCCTAGATCCAAGTATAAATTGTATAATCAAAATCATCTGAGATAGATAGGAGTAAGCCTTGGAATTTGGCAAACATAACAACGTCGCAAATTTTGAACATTTAGTAAAATTATCTGAACAATCGCAACGTCCCACGCCTATACTTTTGAACATTTAGTAAACAATTCTAAACAATTACAAATTTTGAACATTTTGTAAAAAAATATGAACATCGTAAATTTTGAGCATTTTGTAAAAAAAAAAAATCTAAACAATCGCCTAGGTTTTATCCAAGAAAGGAAGTTTGTAGCATAAATGGGCTGGTGGTGCATTACTTATGACGAAAAATATTGTTAATTGGGATTTTTAATACTCATCTGGGAAGCCTACTGTGCTGCGTTACTTATTACGAAAAATATTGTTACTACTGAACACCATAGTACTTCATAGTTTGTTGTCTTGTTATATTCTCATTTACTAATTGGTATTTTCTGCAGTTATTTTGTTTCTTGGTGCTTGCACAAAACCACCACGCTTATCAATGGTCACAGAATACATGGAAATGGGTTCTTTGTATTATCTGATCCACCTGAGTGGTCAGAAGAAGAAGCTTAGCTGGCGGAGGAGATTAAAAATGCTACGTGATATATGCAGGTTTTTCTGATTATGCTATTATGTTTAAAACTATTTTTTGTCATTCTTCTACTTCGTATTGCGTTTGTGACTGATACTCTTGCTACGAGACAAAAACTAAATTCCTCAGTCGTTGAATGATTACAATTTTCTGTGTTGAACTTCAATTGAAGTGTTACGGTTATCCAGACCAAATTACACAAATTTAAGCTGTGTGTTGAAAATGGCGATTATGCTACTCATATGGGGTATGATTGTATGATGTAAGTATGTAACAATGATAGTACTTCTCAAGTTCCCAGGGTTGCATGAATAATGTGTAATTCAGGAGAAAATAGTAAGGTATATTCTTCATGGGTCATTATTGCTAAAAAGGAGAACTCTGACAGCTTAGTCAAATGTCCTGCTTTTTTTATCATTAGCATCTACATTTACATTTGGATAAAATTATATCTCAAACTAGAATATGCTGTGTGATTGATGTATTATCGTTGGCTTTTGGCTTAGGTTGGACCACTCTCATCTATTTAGGTTTGTTAAATCTTATGAATGCAAACTTACCATAGTTTCTGTGTGCCACTTACAGAGGGTTGATGTGCATACACCGAATGAAGATTGTTCACCGTGATTTGAAGAGTGCTAACTGTCTTGTGAACAAACATTGGACAGTAAAGATATGTGATTTTGGATTGTCAAGGATAATGACAGACTCACCCATCGGAGACTCTTCATCTGCTGGAACTCCTGAATGGATGGCTCCTGAACTCATACGGAATGAACCTTTTACAGAAAAGTGTGACATATTTAGCCTTGGTGTCATCATGTGGGAGCTCTGTACTCTGAGCAGGCCTTGGGAAGGTGTACCACCGGAAAAGGTATTTAGTATTTACCTTGCTAAGTTTGCTTGTTGGACTTGAAGAAGGTAAAATTTTGCGAACTAATTTTGGTTTTGCCTAATCTGGACATTACTTTGCAGGTGGTTTATGCCGTTGCAAATGAGGGTTCACGTTTAGAAATTCCCGAAGGACCTCTTGGTCGGCTCATTACAGGTACTCTTCTGATTATTGCTACATCTTTTCTTCTATAGCTGAGAGTTCATTGATTTGTCAACTATTTACTTGAAGTGCATGACATATAGTGAGCTATAGGAAATAGTTCTGTGACTTCTGTCTGCCTCAAATATTTTGCCATAAAATCAGTTTGGTTGACGTATACAGAATAGGTAAAGTGCTGAGCTGGTTTAGTAGAAATAATGAAATAGAGTACATATGTGATTCTTGTTCACTATATTGTTAGAATATACTTGAATTAAGATTAGTAAAAAAACAGTAGCTATAGACCAGTAGAATATTGACCTTGTTCTAATCTAAAAATTTGCATCCTCTAGTCCATATAGAATGTTCACCATGGTTGAGAGTACATGACACTCGAGTCAACTATCTTTGCTGGACTAATGTCAGGAAACAAAACCCATGTAAATTTTCTTGAACCTTAACTTCTACTACGAAGTTAAGTCCCGTGAACCATTGTTTTGGAGTGGCACTGCCAGTAAAAGTCAATTGTTGAATTCTTCATTTTCTATAGCTTGATTATATTGAAATTCTTCATTTTCTTTTGGCGTCATAAGATTGTTTTGTTGGGACTTAGGTGCTCATTGTCTGATTTGATTGTTGCAGATTGTTGGGCAGAACCACATGAACGACCAAACTGCAAGGAGATACTTTCCCGCTTGCTTGACTGCGAATATGCACTTTGCTAATTCACATCCTTGTATAGCGAGAGAATGTTAGTTGAGGAATAGAGTTGTCACCATTATTATCATGTTTCCGGCTCTCTTTGTTGTAAACTTAGTTGATGATATTTCAAATTTTGAAATGGAAAAAGGGGAGAATATAATTTGAATTGCGAAGAGAATTACATCTTAGAGAATTTCACATCAGCAGTAAACTGTTGAAAGAGTTACAGCTATAGTATATTGCTTACAAGTATATCACACAGACAAAAACCCCAAACCCCGTTGAGAATTTACATTGCCCATAGAGGTAAGAAACTAAAGCAAGGCCATCATCATTAGAGATTTTGGGAAATATATCCCGTACTAGCACGAGTAGAAAAGTTAAAATACAGTGAGTTGTTATCTTTGCTTGCAAAACATTTACACCAGCTATACACTTGTAATTCAAAAAAATAAAAACAAAAAAATCAATCAGGATTCACGAATTTGACGTGCATTCAACCTGTTGACAATCGAGAACAAGAGTTCGCTCTCATTTCGGTGCTCATACTGCTCTCAGGAGCAAGGTAGTAATCCCCTCTCAGCTGCACATCTCTCAGTTTAGGAATCTTGATGAGAAACATCATAAAGTGGTCATGAGTTGTTCCATGAATGAAGAGCTTCCTTAATGTATCACATTGTGCAAGAAGGCCAGCACCAGGAAGTGAGAGACTCCTTTGATTCAATCTCATTCAGCCTTAATTCTGAATTCCATTTCTAAGGTCTATGTGCCCAGATGGGGCAGTCAATGCATAACCTATTGTATCCCCACAATCGAGCTTCATTATTTTAGACAGCAAAGGATATCTCCTGAGTGTGCTAATCCTAAAAGTATTTCTTGATAATCTCCCTCGACTTTTATATGAATTTCTCTCCTCCTCGAGCCCTATATCAGGTAATGGTGTCAAGATCTCTCCAACACCAATACAAATCGAGAAAAATTCAACGTTTTCCCATAACTTGATAATAAAAATCCATTGCTAGTACTACATAGGTTCATGTTGGCATTCAACATAAACCAACTCTTCTCTTTCTTACCCAACTTTCATCCTCAGTTCATTCAACATAAACCAACTCTTCTCTATCTTACCCAACTGTTCTCCATTTCATTAATATCAACTGTTAGATGTGGCCCAAAATTTCATATGGACCAAGTTTTTAAGAAGCCCAATACAATTCTTTTTGCTTCTAGAGTATGTCAAATATTCTACAATTATGTTGATTATTCTAGAAAAATGGTCAACTCTCTAGAAGCAATATTATCATGCAAGAAAATCTAGAGAAATCTTCATACATCTTGAGGCATCCATTTCCACCGACCTAACCAACTATAATTAGTTGGAGTTTGGCTCATATTGAGGCATCCAACCAATATACATTCAACCTCCATACAAATTTACTCACCCACAAAATTACTCATCCATTTACACTAGTCTCCCTAGTTAATCTCCTCCTTGTAATTTATTCCACTATTTTCTTTTCTTTTATTTTGAGAGTTTAATTGTAAGAGTTGTATATCAATACCCTATTATTGGGGTAACTTTGTACTCTCATTTTATTATAGTGGAATTTTTGTTGCTCGTCGTCGTGGGTTTTTTACCTCTATTTAGAGGGTTTTTCCCACGTTAAATATCGTGTCTCCTTTTATTGCTTATCTTACATTTTACCTTTAATTTCTCATTCTATTTTACATTTCCGCTGCGTGCTCATACCCTAACAAGTGGTATCAGAGCCAAAGGTTATTATGTCGACTACTACTAAGTTCGACATCGAGAAATTCGATGGTAAGATAAGTTTCAGAGGATCTAGATAAAAGCCGTTCTTACTCAGAACGGATTGAAGAAGGCATTGGATGGTAAACCAAAGAAGCCATCTTCAATGACCGACGAGCAATGGCAAGAGCTAGATGAGAAAGCTCTGTCCGCCATTCAATTATGTCTTACGAAGGAGGTTCTTCGAGAAGTCATACATGAGGAGACTGCTGTCGGTCTATGGTTGAAGTTGGAATCTCTCTACATGACCAAGAGTCTAGCAAACAAACTCCGGCTCAAGGAGAGGCTTTACACCATTCGCATGGTTGAAGGTACATCTCTCCAAACCCATCTCAATGAATTTAATTCTATCATAATAAATCTTGAAAATTTGGATGTGAAGATTGATGATGAGGATCAGGCTGTCTTATTAATCGTCTCCCTACCTCCCTCTTACAAACACTTCAAGGACATCATGCTTTATGGAAGTAATGATTCACTTTGTTTTGAAGATGTTAAATCAAATCTTTTATCAAAAGAAAAATTTGACCTTGAAGTTCATACTGAAGATAAAGGAGAAGGTTTAAATGTAAGAGGGAGATCTCAAGAAAGAGGAAATTCACACAAAAAGAAATTTAGATCTAAATCTAGGGGACGTAAACCAAATGTCACCTGTCGTTATTGTAAGAAATCTGGGCATGAAGTCTCTGATTGTTTCAGATTGAAAAACGAGAAGGAAAAAGAAGAAAAATCCAAACAACCTCAAAAATCCGCTGAAGCTAGCAACGTTGAGACTGATTCTGAAAGTGACACAATGTTACTTGTAACCTCTGAAAAGAAAAGTCTCAATGAATGGATTCTTGATTATGGTTGCACCTATCATATGAGTCCTCATAGGGACTGGCTCACCACATATGAATCTGTTGATTGTGGTACAGTCTTAATGGGAAATGATGTTTCCTGTAAGGCTGTTGGCATAGGATCAATCAAAATCAAGACTCATGATGGCGTTGTCAGAACCTTAACTAAGGTTCGTCACATTCCTGACTTAAAACGCAACTTAATATCTCTTGGTACCCTAGACTCTCTTGGTTACAAGTTTTCGGCTGAAGGTGGAGTTTTTAAGGTCACAAAAGGTGCCCTAGTTGCCTTGAAGGCCAATATGCATGGCAGTTTGTAGGTCTTGCAAGGACATATAGTAACAGGTGCATCAACCGTATCATCTTCACTATCCGATTCTCAACTCACTCAATTGTGGTATATGCGCCTTGGTCACATGAGTGAGAAAGGATTGGAGATCCTGAGCAAACGTGGACATCTTGGCTCTCCTGGCACGGGTAAGCTGCAATTCTATGAGCATTGTGTTTATGGAAAGCATCAGAAAATAAGTTTCTCTATTGCTACTCACAGAACTAAAGATATTCTTGATTATGTCCACTCTGATTTGTGGGGACCTAGTAGGGTCACCTCTTATTCTGGAAAACGTTATTTCATGTCTATCATTGATGATTTCTCCCGTAAAGTCTGGGTTTATTTCTTAAGGCAGAAAAATGAAGCCTTCTTCATTTTTAAGAAGTGGAAAGCTCTTGTTGAGAACCAGACTAGGAAGAAAGTCAAAAAGCTCAGAACTGATCGTGGTTTAGAATTTTGCGAAGATGAATTTCAAGAGTTTTGTGCTCAAGTCGGAATCGCTAGACACAAGACATTGCTTGGGAAGCCGCAACTAAATGGAGTTTTCGAGCGTATGAATCGAACTCTTCTAGAAAGAGCTCGATGTATGATCTCTAATGCTGGATTGTGGCATCGCCGAGATTTGTGAACGGAAGCAGTATCCACGGCAGCATATATTGCCAACCGTTCTCCACACTCTTCCATTGACTTCAAAGTTCCAGAGGAGATATATTCAGGTACACCTGTTGATTACTCTCCTCTTAGAGTATTTGGTTGTACTGCTTATGCTCATATTAATGATGGAAAATTAGCTCCTAGAGCTGTTAAATGCATTTTCATTGGCTATTCTTCTGAATCTAAGGGATATAGATTGTGGAATCTCGAGTCTAAGAAAGTCATTCTTAGCCGAGATGTTGCTTTCAATGAAAATGCTATGATTCAATCATCTAGTTTGGAGTCCTCTAGTGGAGAACATGAAGATAGTGAGAAGGTGGAGTTTGAGATTAGTAACCCTTCTCACACTACTGACAAGGATTCTTCATCAAGTCCACAATCTAGCCATGATGGTGATACTCCATCTACCAGTGATTCAAGCCAGCCACAAAGCCCACAACAACAACCTGATGATTACAATCTTACAAGGGATCGTTCGAAGAGGCCAATTAAAAAGTCATCAAAATACTCGAGTGATGAGTATCTTCTTGCTTATGCATTATTAGTTGGTGAAGAAACTCCAATTGGAGTTGAGTTATCATCTTATTCAGAGGCCATCACAAGTCCCGACTCTTATAAATGGCTCGTGGCGATGAGTGAAGAAATTGAAAGTTTTCACAAGAATGACACTTGGGATTTGGTCAAGCTTCCAAAAGGTCGAAAGGCACTCACTTGCAAATGGATTTACAAGCAAAAAGAAGGAATCCCCAGAGTTGAACCTGCAAGATGGAAGGCACGTCTAGTAGTCAAAGGATGTCATCAAAGAGAAGGTATTGACTTTAATGAGATTTTCTCTCCTGTTGTTCGTCATACCTCTATTAGAGTCCTTCTTGCTATGGTTGCTATGTTTGACATGGAGTTAGAACAACTCGATGTTAAAACTGCCTTTCTCCATGGTGAACTTGAAGAGGAGATCTATATGAAGCAACCCGAGGGATTTGTTGCTCCAGGAAAGGATAATCTTGTTTGTCGCTTGAAGAAATCCTTGTACGACCTTAAACAAGATCCCAGACAATGGTATACGAGATTTGACTCTTTCATGGTTGGACGAGGTTACACACGCAGTCGATATGATCACTGCGTCTATTTTCGACAGCATAATGGTGTTTACATCTATTTGTTGTTGTACGTGGATGATATGCTCATTGCATCTCGTGACAAGTCTCTGATCGACGACTTGAAATCTGATCTCAACAAGGAGTTTGAGATGAAGGACCTTGGAGCAGCAAAGAAGATTCTTGGCATGGAAATACATCGAGATTGACAGGCTGGTAAGTTATTCCTATTTCAGAAAAATTATATCATGAAAATTTTGAATAGGTTTAATATGAACAAATGTAAGCCTGTCTCTACTCCTCTTGCTGCCCATTTTAAGCTATCGTCAGCATGTTGTCCTCAAACTGAGGAAGAAATTGAGGAAATGTCTAGTACTCCGTACGCCAGTGCTGTTGGTAGCCTTATGTATGCTATGGTCTGCACAAGACCCGATTTAGCATATGCTGTGAGCAGGTACATGCACAACCCTTGAAAACAGCATTGGAATGTTGTTAAGTGGATATTTCGCTACCTAAAAGGTACTGTGGATCTAGGGTTAGTATATGATAGAACCCTAACATGTACACCTTCTACTGATGTTGTTGGGTTCGTTGACTCTGACTATGGTGGTGATCTCGACCGTAGAAGGTCTATCTCCAGTTATATCTCCACTCTGTGTTCTGGTGCAATAAGCTGGAAAGCTTCTTTACAATACAAAGCGGCTCTCTCTACAACTGAAGCCGAGTATGTTGCTGCAACTGAAGGTATAAAGGAGGCTACATGGTTGCGAGGTCTTATCATGGATCTTGGTGTCTCACAAGGAGTTACTAATGTGTTTTCAGATAGCCAAAGTGCTATCTTTTTCACCAAGAATGATGCTTATCACAATAAGACCAAGCATATCACAGTCAAAATTCACTATGTCAGAGATACAATTGCAGAAGGAGAAATTGCTGTGAAGAAGATTCACACTTCTGAAAATCCTGCAGATATGCTCGCAAAGCCACTTCCTACCACTAAGTTCAATCATTGTCTGGACTTAGTGGGTTTCCATTCTATCTAAGGTCTTCGGGGCCCATACGACGAGCCCATGAAATTTGGTCCAAGGTGGAGATTGTTAGATGTGGCCCAAAATTTCATATGGACCAAGTTTTAAAGAAGCCTAATACAATTCTTTTTGCTTCTAGAGTATGTCAAATATTCTACAATTATGTTGATTATTCTAGAAAAATGGTCAACTCTCTAGAAGCAATATTATCATGCAAGCAAATCTAGAGAATTCTTCATACATCTTGAGGCATCCATTTTCACCGACCTAATGATGTGTCTATTTTATATAGTATTTTACCCCCGTCCCTTGGTCATAATTAGTAGTTTTTTTGGCTCTTTAGAGCCACTTTTATTACTAATGGGTGTTTTCTAGTGTTTTCGTAGATTTGGTTGACTTTTGCAGGGATTTATGCTTTTGGAGTATTTTTCCGAGATATTTTGGAGCAATCACGAACATTAGAGAAGCACGACCAGATTTTATAGCCCAGGGTCGGTTAGAGCCATCAAACCGGCGATTAAGGGCTTGGTATGTGTGATACCGGGGCATTTGGACCGAGTATTCAAGACCTAAAGAGGAAACCTAGATTGGCCCGAAGAATTGGAGCCCAATCGTAGTCCAAATAGTGGCCCAAGAGAGCCGCCCGGCCAAAAAGGCTGGCGTCCGGAGGCGCGCCCGGCCGGGCGGGAGAAGCAAAGGTCGGCGCCCGGCCAAAGGGCTGGCGCTCGGAGGCACGCCCGGCCGGGCGGGAGAAGCTTAGGCTGGCGCCCGGTGACGCGCCCGTCCGGGCGCGAAATTATTAGTAATGAGCAAAAAAGGCGCGCTTGATCGGGCGGTGCCTCGCCCGATCGGGCACGTGTCATTGTTAGGAGACGCTTAACGTCGTTTTAATTTGTTTTAGTTTAGGATTTTTGTACGGAGTATAAATACTCCTCCGTAATACGTTTTTAGGATATCTTCTTCTTCTCCTCTTTACTTTCTTTACTCCCTTAATTATTCTCTTAGAATTCTCTCTCTAAACCTTTGTTCTTAATTCTACTCTTAATTCCAGATTTATTTTGGTAACGATTCCTCTTCTCTTAATCTTAGTTATTTATTCTATTCCTTTAATCATGTCTTATTTTATTGCTTTGATTTGTTTAGTTTTTAATATGTGTGAGTAGTTTTATTTCTAGGGTTTATGGGGATCTAATAAATAATATGAAGGGGTAATTTACTGTTGTTAATTATCAATGCTAGATTAATTTCCTATTGATTGATTTAATGCTCTGTGACTAGATTAGGCCTATCTTTTATGCATGAGTTTGACAATATTAATTCAAGATTCAAGAGATGAGAATTGATGTTTAGGTCTAGTTTCAATAGGCAGATTAATTTATAAATGGTTAAGTCGAGATTCGAGAGATGAGATTTAATACCGGTAGATTAATTCTGTGATTGTAATACGTAGCGAAATCCCTTTACAATCTGGTTAATTGATGCATTGATGATTGACTATTATTGATTGTTGGTATTGCAAGATAATTTCTTATTGAATTGTTTTAACGTTTTACAATTGCGGCTTGTAAAAGTATAGCAATATTAAATTGATGAATCGAGCAGATGTTAATTTGATATTAAAGGCTATTTTCAATAAGAACTTAGATCTAGTAAATTGCGAGAGCCTGTTAGATCTATGTTGATTAATAAGTTGCGAGAGCCTGTTAATCATGTTATCTATGCAATGTCAATGATCGATTACTATGTTTTACTCTGGAGTATTATTTATTGGTGAACCTATGCCCTAGATCCTTTTATATATTGTTTTCTCCCTATTCCTATTCTTTGTAGTTTAGTTTCATACTCAAATATAAATATTGGTTACTTAGATAATTTAGATTATAATAATTAATTAGGAGTAAAAAGACTTGTTTCCCTGTGGAGATCGACCCTACTTCCCTATCTACTTTAGTTAGAGGATTTAGGTATTTACTTTTGATTAGGGGATACGACTTTACCCTGTCACCTAACCAACTATAAATAGTTGGAGTTTGGCTCATATTGAGGCATCCAACCAATATACATTCAACCTCCATACAAATTTACTCACCCACAAAATTACTCATCCATTTACACTAGTCTCCCTAGTTAATCTCCTCCTTGTAATTTATTCCACTATTTTCTTTTATTTTATTTTGAGAGTTTAATTGTAAGAGTTGTATCTCAATACCCTATTATTGGGGTAACTTTGTACTCTCATATTATTATAGTGGAATTTTTGTTGCTCGTCGTCGTGGGTTTTTTACCTCTATTTAGAGGGTTTTTCCCACGTTAAATATCGTGTCTCCTTTTATTGCTATCTTACATTTTACCTTTAATTTCTCGTTCTATTTTACATTTCCGCTGCGTGCTCATACCCTAACATCAACACCTAGCAATGCTGCCTTTTCCTCACACTCCAACTTCTCACCATCACAATTCACAAACACAATCAATGTGGAGGCTCCTAATCCGATCCCTAATCAAGGTACCTGCAACAATATATCTTCACTTCAACTACTCAATTAGTGTTCTCTTAAGCAAGCACACCATCGTCCTTAAACCACCTCAAACTTAGCAAGTTTAGAGCATCCCCTCCCATTCGCAATCAACCAAACTTTGGACCATTATCCTAGCATGACCCACTAATATTGGGTCAGGCTAGGCCTGGGCCCAAAGAGGTCTTTGGCTGGCCCAACGCAGCCCAATACCATGTTTAGTTGTTAATTAGTTTTGGAAAAAAGTTAGCTATGAAAGTGACGATTGATAGTATGAGTGATTGACAAAACTTGTGATTACAATACTAAAATACATTAAATCCGCATATATTAATTTAAAAAATAACAAAAATTTTATAAACTACGGAGTATCTCCTACTTCGTATTATCTTTAACATTTGATACCTAAACGCTATCTCTACCTGAATCATTACCTTTGTCACTCACTATTTTTTTAGTGGTGTTTTGTTCAAAACACTAACCGTTACCACTGAACGTCCCCTATAGCTATATTTTAAAGTTTTTTACTAAACCCAGCCCAATTAAGCAATTACCATATCACCCCTACCTTTTCTCCCCGCCGATCACAAACCATAATTCCTTCTTGAAAAAAAATCTCACAAAACAAAATTTCCTCATTATTATTTTCTCTCTCCTACACCCCTTAATCATCTCACCGGCAACTTTCCATGGCCACCAACGCCGACGGCACCTCACCGTCGCCGGCGCTCCGACCTCGACCTCAACCATTGCCGGCAACTCTCACCCGCGCTTCCCCCGTTCTCCGGGAAGATTGCTGGTCGGAAGATACGACACACGCTCTCATCGAAGCTTGGGGCTCCCACCACCTCTCTCTCAATCGCGGTAACCTCCGTCAACACCATTGGCTCAAAGTCGCCACCACCGTCAACGCCGCCGGTGACCGGCGCCGGCGCACCGACATCCAGTGCAAGAATCGCATCGACACGTTGAAGAAGAAGTACAAGATCGAAAAATCTAAGACTGTTGATTCTTCCGGCGGTTACGTTAGTCCATGGCCGTTTTTCTCCCTCCTCGATTTCCTCATCTCTGGCGACGGCGAGAAACCTCTCTCCTCTGGTCGGAAAATATCGCCGGATACTCCGTCGACGACGACGACGCTGACGAAGTTTCCGGTGGCTCCGAGGTCGGCGTTGATACGAAAACGACCGGTGCCTGTTGATGATTCGTTTTTCCGGCGACAGTTTGCGGCTGTTATTGCAGCAGCAGCCGAGGTGGAGGCGCATGAGTCGTCGGAGGAGAGAGAAAGAGAGTCATCGGAGCGAACCGGCACATCGAGCGATAGCGGTGGGAGAGAGAGAAGAGATAGTAGAGTAGAGGATGAAGGTTTCAACAATGGATGTAGGAAGTTGGCGGAGGCGATAATGAGGTTCGGAGAAGTGTATGAGAGAGTAGAAACAGTAAAGCAAGAGCAATTGATTGATTTAGAGAAGCATAGGATGCAATTTACTAAGGATTTGGAGTATCAGAGGATGAAATTGTTGATGGATACTCAGCTTTAGCTCGCTAGGATTAAACGGTCCAAACATTCTGATGATGCTGGTATAATTTTCTTTACTTTATTTTCGAGTTCTTTATTATAGTAATCATGGCTTTAATTATAATTAGATTAGTTTAGACTTTAGACTTGGATTGTGCATGTTTCCAGCTTTCTAATGAATGCAATTATGATATGGTTTTGTTTGCGTGTGTTAATTAGCAAGTTTGTAATTATGGTCCTGTTTGGTTTAATGTAAAACATTTTCAATGGAAAATTAGTTTTCATGGAAAACATATTTTCAAGGAAAAACACAATTGCAAATTAGTTTTTCTTTGTTTGGTTGCATACAAGAAAAGTCCAAGAAAAATAAAAAATAAGAGTGGAAATGTAAGGATGAATGAGAGGGAAGTAAAAAAAGAGGTAAGGAGGAGAGAGGAAAATGTGGCTTCCCTTGGTTGGAATTTGTTTAAATTTTGAAGTTTGAAGCTAATGTTAAGCATATTATTTGTGGGGAATTTAGCAATTATGGCAATGATCATGATGAATATCTCTAATTTACTGCTGGAATTAAAATGAGAACCGATTGTATTTGAATAATTTGAATATGGCATAGCCAAATCAAAAGTGCACTTGGTGTCTCTTTTCTTTTGGAGATGAAGAGAAGGGGAGGGTGGGATGATTGTGCTTTTGTCGAAGATGAGAATGTGTTGATCATGTTTCAGTTTTTTTTTTTTTTAGCAAGAAAAAGAAATATATTACTTAAACACTAGATGAATAAAATCATCTAGGTAATACCAAGTTTGTTGCCAAAATGAGGTTCCATGATTGCGCTGAAGCTGAAAATTGGCAATCATGAACCCAGCCCACAGCAAATAGGCATAAAAGAAGAAAACAAAAAAGGCAATAGTTAAACTAAAGCATAAACTGGCATAGTAAGAGAAAGAGGGGGAGCCTCGAAGAGACTCATGAGCAGCCCCTGAACACTGGTAGCTGTCAGTTGCCATCAGTCATGGCAACGGTGTTAGCAAGCTCCTTCATGTAGGGGTGAGTGAGATCAGGTGGAGCGTGGAAGTGGTACACAATCTCGTCATCCTGCATTCTCCCAATATTGGCCAAGCCATGGGCTAGCTTGTTTGCGGTCCTCTTGACATGGAGGATGGTAACACTCCATTCCCTTTGAAGCAATTGAGAAACATCGTTGGTGAATGGTGATATTAGCCAAGTGATGGTCCATGTAGTAGCCTGGATTGTGCAGCATATAGGTGAGGGCTTGAGCGTCAGTTTCTAGTTCTAAAAACCGAATCCCCCTTTCCCAAGCTGTAGTGAGGCCTTCTCTTATGGCTAGCAATTCAGAAGAAGCTGGCCCAAGAGTCTTGATTTTCATTGAGTAACCAATCTGCCATTTCCCTTTTGTTGGAGCGGATAACATCACCAGCTCTTGCTTCCCCTAAGCTTATCCAGGACCCATCTGTGTTGAGTTTGTAGTAGCCTCGTTGCGGGGGAGAGCAAACTCTAGGAGAGACACTTGAACTTGATGAAGCAACATCAATATGAACCTGTGACATCTTCATAGTGATAGCATAATCCGAGTAAAACTTATTAAAGCAAATCGAAACAAAATCCATAGATTGATCAAAAATCATATTATTCCTGATGGACCATAGATGCCAAAGAGCAACACAAAATAAAACTTTCCAGCCTTAATCATGATTGAAGTTTAGGGAAATCCAATTTTAAAAATTATCATTGTAAATCCAGTAAAATAAAAATCAGTAGGAGGGAAGTGAGAGAAAATGAAGGCCCAAAAGGCAATACTATTTGGACAATCACGAAATAGGTGGATATTATCTTCATTATGCCAAGTGCATCTAGTACATTTAGGGTCAAAATTCGGAATTTTAGTGGCTAGGACAGCCCCAACAAGTAGAATGCCTCTAATAATATTCCAAAATAGCATTTTATACTTAAAAGGGGCATGGATTTTCCACATTCGTTTCCAAGGAAAGTTAGACAGGAAATGGCTAGGGGATGTGATGGGAGTAATAGAAGAGTAGTAAGCTGATTTAATAGTAAAAGCTCCATTGACATGAAGGAACCAAGTGAGAGTATCCTTAGGGGAGTGGAAAATAGGGAGAGGAGTAGCTTCAATATTAAGAAGAATGCTAGAGGGAATAAGGTGAGAGATGTTGTTGGCGAACCATTTCTTGTCTCCTATGATATTAGAGACTCTCCAATGGCCTTTACTATCCGGGATGGAGATGTTTTCATGGAGATAGAGAGGTTTATCTCCTAACCATTTGTGATACCAAAGAGAGGTAACTTCTCCATCACCAATACGAATGGTCAGACCTTTTTTTAAGATTTCTCTACCCTGAAGAATGTCTTTCCAGATTTGAAAATCAGAAGGTTTACCATTATAATCAAGGAAGTTAAAGTACTTAGATATATTTTGGTTAGAATTTGAGCCCAAAGTTTGTGAGGTTCGGTAAGAAGCTTCCAACCTAGTTTGGCCATGAAGCAAAGATTCCAAACTCTAAGGTTCCTAATCCCCAACCCCCCACAGGCCCACAGTTAGTGGGATTGCAAACAATACCCCAGGAGGTCCTAGGGATGTATCTAGCCTTGTCGACCCTATTCCATAGGAACTTCTTAATGTTTTTTTTTGGAGATCTTCAACAAGAGAAATAGGAAGGGTGTTCATTTGCATAGCATACATTGGTTAAGAGTTTAGGCCAGATTTAATAAGAGTTGTGCAGCCAGCCATATTTAGCAATTTGCTTTGCCAACCCCTTATTCTAGAGTTGGTTTTGTCAAGGAGCTCATAGTAGTCTTTAATTTTCAGTTTATTAGGGCTTATGTTAATCCCCAAATATTTCCCAAAGGAAGAAGTCTTAATATTGCAGAATCAAAAATCGACTTCCTTTTGTCGAAGTCCATTTTCCTAGGAAAAATGATAGTAGATTTATTAATGTTTATAGTAAGGCCGGATATGTTTTTGAATTCATCAAGGACCTCCATCATGGTTTCAATATTAGCCAAGTTAGCTTTTCCGAAAAGGGAAACGTCATCGGCATAAAAAAGATGGGATAAGTTGATGTCTTTTGCTATTTTCATAGGTTTCCAATCGTTATTGTGGACTTTACTTTGAATCATACAAGAAAGGTGATCAAGGCAAAGAACAAAGATATAGGGGGAAAGGGGACATCCTTGCCTAATACCCCTAGTTGGATTAAAAGCATTAGTGGTTTGGCCATTTCAAAGGACAGAAATTGACGGGGTACAAACACAGATTAGAATAAGAGTAATGAGAAATTCAGGCAGATTAATGGCCCTAAGGGTATCCTCGATAAAACTCCACTCGATGCTATCAAAAGCCTTTGTGAGGTCAAACTTAAGGGCCATAATGTTAGCTTTTTTGGACGACTTATGGAAGAAGTGAGATACCTCCTTTATGATGTTGATATTTTCATCAATAGAGAGATTGGGGATGAAGCTAGATTGGAAGGGGCTAATGAGGGAGTCCATAAGCGGTTTCAATCTAGAGGCTATACATTTTGGCTGCTGTTGCAAAAATATGTTAAAACTTTTCTTAGATGGTTGATCTTTTAATGATTACTCATGAATATGGCTACATGAGCCATTGTTAGAAGAATTTAAGTTTGAAATATCTGCTATAAATCTCTGTTTTATTACGATGTTTTACCATGGGGACAGAAGGGTATCCAGGAATTTCGATTTGGTATAGCAATCAAATTTAGGCTTATGTTTAAACCACAATCCATAACACAATCTAGACACGAATACAACTAATGCAATTGCATATTATGATCAGTCCTTTTTTTTTCTTCCTTTTCATTAGTCAGAGTCAATTATCTTCAAACAATATTATTCCAACTTTAGACAAAGACTTCATTAAATATTCTCAACCAAAATAGCTTCAACATTCACATGACAACTAGTAGCTATAACCTTTGCTCCTATATTACATTATTCCTTTGGCATATAACATGAATCTACAAGGCCTACGACATACATATAAGTTGAAAATTTCCCCAATTGTAGTTCATAAATTTGAAGTCTAGTCTTGTTTACAAATAATGGATATTAATTTCAACTTGTTAGAGGGGGATTAAATTTGAAGTCTGGTCTTATTAAAAAAAATTGAATATTAATTTCTACTTGTTAGGGAAAAGAGCTGAGTATAGGTCAGAAAGAATTGATATGTGCATCTGTTAGCCTGCCAAGCATCCAATCTTCTGACTGCTCACCAACATGTTCAACTGCTTGCTTAGAGTTGCCATTACCTACTCCTGGTTTGGCTGTTCGCAACCTGAGAGAAGATATGATTTTTTTATTTTTTATTTTTTTTTGACAAAAGCAAAATATATTTATATTAACAGAGTTTACAACATACCAAATAAGAACTAAGACTTACCACTACCAACTTCGAAATTAAAACAACTTGAGAATTGAAAATCTGGCACACTTAAGCCTTTACAACTTTTGAAATTAAAAACAACATTAAACTGGACTTGGCCAACATATTGCAGATAAGGATTTCCTTATAGAAACATAAAACACACCCTAAAGAGAGTAGCGGAGAGAATCAAAACTGTTTGACCATGGCTAACATTTCCTTTCTTGGCGGGATCAACTCATCACCAAGTAAGGTCTTCAAACAGGTCACTTGAACTTGTGACCTTTTCTTCAATAGCTTTCCTTGTTGGTAAGAAAGCTTTGACAACGTCGAGGCTCGTGAAACCCCAAAACAAAGTTTGGACGCCTGCTTTGGATAGTAAATTTCAAGAGTAATGATTATAAGAATCATTACAAAGAAGGTAAAATAAAGACACCAAATACCACTCCAACAAAACACACACTTCACCTTAGCCAAGGCTAACTTTTTGTTCATCCCCCCAACAACAACATAACATGTGAACTCTCTTAACATTATAGCAAACCCAAGATCCTTAACAAAGGATCCTAACTCCTTCTGCACACAACCATCCAAATGACTTTAACCAAAACAACTAGAAAACATACAACAACTTAAAAAGACAAGTAAACTCTGATTATTAGCATTTAGGAAAAACATACTTAGCTAGAGGAAGAGCACCGTCAACCGTAAACAGCAACCAAACACAAAGGACCTCAAAACCCCAGCCCTAACTTCACCGTTTCCGTCACGATTACCTCCCGACGGCGGCGTTAGGCCTAGCCCTCCAGCGCAAGGACCCACGAAACCCTAACCCTAACCTTTTCGTTTCCGTCACGGTCAAAATTACCAATAACCTATGACGGCGGCGTTAGGCCTAGTCCTTGTTGGAATATTTCCAATAATAATGTTATGTGTGAGAGGTTATCCCACATGGAAAAAGTAAGAAGGCAATGTATTGTTTGTATTGTAAACAATTAGATATGAGTTATGAAATGGGCTAAGTGGTGTTTTTGGACAAGTGGGCTAAGTGGCTTATATATATTTATAATAAAAAACTTAGCACTTAGCACTTGGCCACTTGACACGGACATGGAAATTAAAGCCTAATACGATAATTAATTTTTGTCGGTTTATTCTTTAACTCTGACTATTTAATTATATATTATTTAATATTTAATTAAAAAGTAAATTGAACAGTTAACTGCTCATTCTTATCTTTTCGGATAACTGCCAATATTTGATCTATTTAAGATCAATTATGGATGAATTGACGTTCATCTTGTTCTTCTCCCCTTTTCTCTGTTTTCCCCAAAAACTCTAGGGTCTCATGATCGTTTGTACTAAACGCTCTTGAGTGTATATCTTTGTATCCCAAAAACGTGTTCATCATAGCCTTGTTAGTACGGTGGGGCGAATAACGTTTTTAGGAAAGTGTTCTTCGTACACGCCTAGATCCATTATTTGTTTTTGTTGTTCCAATCAATTTTTCAACCAACAATCTAAAAACGTTTATTCCTGAAATATGGCATCAACAATGAAAGACTTGGCTACGAACTTTGTCAAACTTGACAGGTTCGATGGAGGCAATTTTAGGCGCTGGCAGAAGAAGGTTCACTTCCTGTTGACAACCCTCAATGTGGCGTATGTTCTGACTCAGGAAGTACCACAAGAGGTTGAGAATGAAACCGTGGCTCGTGCAAGGCTGAAGCATGAAAACGACAATTTCATCTGCCACATACTCAATGCCATGGAGGATACTCTATTCGATACTTATCTTCATGTTACTAATGCAAAGGAATTATGGGAGATGTTAGAGTCCAGATACATGAAAGAAGATGCTACAAGTAAGAAATTTATTGTTTCCTAATTTAATTCCTACATGATGAAAGACAATAGGTCAGTTATGGAACAATTCCATGAAATAGAACGAATTCTTGGTCACTTTAAACAACATAGTATGAATATGGATGAATCTATTGTTGTTTCAAGTATTGTTGATAAATTACCCCCCTCTTGGAAGGATTTCAAGCATAGTTTAAAACATAAGAAAGAAGATATTTCTCTTGACGAACTTGCTAACAATCTTCGTGTTGAAGAGGAATTTCGTAAACAGGAAGACACTAAGGAACAACATGTTTCTAGTGTTAATGTTGTAGAAACTGGAGAATCCAGTAAGGCACAAAGCAAGAAGAGAAAGGGCAAACCGAACAAGCAAAATCAGAAAAATGTGAACAAGAAACAATGCTGGAATTGTGGCATCACTTCAAGAAAAACTGTCCGAAAAAGAAGAACAAAGGGAACAAGCAGAACTCGGGTGGGCAGAACACGAGTGGGCAGAAAATTTCGGAGAAACAGGATGTTTTTGTTGCTGTAATTTCGGAAGTCAATATGATTCAAGATGACAATTCTTGGTGGATTGATTCCGGTGCAACAAAGCATGTGTGCAAGGATAAGTCGCTGTTTGCTTCTTATGTTCCTGTGGAAGAAGGAACGGTCCTATACATGGGAAATTCGTCCACCACCCAAGTGCTTGGAAAGGGCAGCGTTGTGATTGAGTTTACTTCTGGAAAAATTCTGACTTTGAATGATGTTTATCATGTTCCTGAAATTAGGAAGAATCTTGTATCGGGTAGTCTTTTGAACCGTTTTGGTTTTAAGCTTGTGTTTGAATCTGATACTTTTGTAATCTCTAAGGGTGGGGTGTTTGTAGGAAAAGGCTATCTTCATGATGGCATGTTTAAGCTGAACATTATTAATAAAGTTGTTAATTCTGCTTATTTGCTTGTCTCTTTTTCATTATGGCATCATCGTTTAGGACATGTACATTTTAAATGTATGAATGATATGGCTAATCTGAACTTAATTCCTTATGTTGGCAAATGTAATGAAAAGTGTAAAACTTGTATGGTTACTAAAATTACGAGGCAGTCTTTTCCTTCCATTCAAAGAGAATCAAGTTTGCTTGATCTTGTACATAGTGATTTGTGTGAAATGAATGGAGTTATTACTAACGGTGGGAAAAGATATTTCGTGACCTTTATAGATGACCATTCTCGTTATTGTTATGTTTATTTGCTGCATAGTAAGGATGAGGCACTTGACAAATTTAAGATTTACAAACCTGAAGTAGAATTGCATTGTGAATCTTTTATTAAGTGCTTAAGATCAGATAGGGGAGGAGAATATTATAATCCTTCATATTTCCAATCAACTGGAATTATTCATGAACTTACGGCACCCTACACACCACAACAAAATGGTGTGGCCGAAAGGAAAAACAGGGTTCTAACTGAAATGGTTAATGCAATGTTGTCTATTTCAGGATTAGAACAAGGTTTTTGGGGTGAAGCAGTTCAAACTGCTTGTCACATTTTAAATCGGGTTCCAAATAAGAGAAATAAGAAAACTCCTTATGAACTTTGGAATAAAAGAAGACCTAACTTGACATACTTTAAAGTATGGGGGTGTAGAGCAATTCTTAGAGTTCCTGAACCTAAAAGAAAGAAACTAGGTGAAAGAGGAATTGAGTGTATTTTCATTGGTTATGCTATGCATATTAAGGCATATAGATTTGTAGTAATTGAGCCAAATAGATTTATTTCGGTTAATACTGTCATTGAATCTAGAGATGCTGTATTTGATGAAAATAGGTTCACTTCAATTCCTAGACCTAAGGACTTAGTTGTTAACACCCCGTTGGAACAAGCTAACAAGCTAGTGAAGCTCCACAAGAAGTTAGGCGAAGTAAAAGGATTAGAAAGGCTAAAGATTTTGGACCAGATTTTGTAACCTTTCTAGTGGAAGGATCAAGAGAAACAATTTGTGATTCTGTTCCTTTATGTCTAAACATAGAGGATGATCCTTTGACTTTCAGTGAGGCTATGAAGTCTCCTGATGCAGCTTTTTGGAAAGAAGCGGTAAATGACGAAATGGATTCGATCATGGGTAATAAAACCTGGAAATTGGTGGATCTTCCACCAGCTTGCAAACCAATTGGTTGCAAGTGGATTTTCAAAAGAAAAAGAAAAGTCGATGGTACAATCGAAAAATTCAAAGCACGGTTGGTAGTGCAAGGTTTTACACAAAAAGAAGGGATTGACTACTTTGATACCTATGCTCCTGTAGCTAGGACAAGTACAATTAGGATGCTTCTTGCTTTAGCTTCTATCCATGGTTTAGTAATTAACCAAATGGATGTAAAAACTGCTTTTCTAAATGGTGATTTAGAAGAGGAAATTTACATGAAACAACCCGAAGGGTTTGTTGTTCAAGGACAAGAGCACAAGGTCTGCAAGTTAAATAAATCCTTGTATGGACTAAAGCAGACACCAAAACAGTGGCATCAAAAATTTGATGAAGTTGTTCTTGGGTACGGTTTTTCCAGTAATGATGCTGATAAATGTGTTTACACAAAGTTTAATGGAAATAAGGGTGTCATCATATGTCTTTATGTTGATGACATGTTGATTTTTGGTACTGACCTTGATGAGGTTGAAAATACCTTAGGATTTCTATCTGAAAATTTTTCCATGAAGGACATGGGAGTTGCAGATGTTATTCTTGGAATAAAAATTTCAAGGAATGCTAATGGATTGTGTTTGTCTCAATCTCATTACATTGAAAAGGTGTTAAGGAAGTTTGATAACTTTGATTGCAAACCTGTTTCTACACCTTTTGATCCGAGTATTAAGCTCACAAAGAACAAGGGAACTCCAATCTCTCAATTAGAGTATGCAAGAGTAATAGGTTGCCTAATGTTTGCTATGACATGTACAAGACCGGACATTGCTTTTGCCGTTGGTAAACTAAGTCAGTTTACAAGTAATCCAAGTGATGCCCATTGGCATGTTGTAAGAAGGGTGCTTAAGTAACTCAAGAAAACAATTAATTTTGGATTATGCTTTTGTGGTTATCCTTCAGTTTTGGAAGGGTATTCGGATGCTAGTTGGATTACTAGTAGTGATGATTATGCTTCCACAAGTGGATGGATTTTTACTCTTGGTGGGGGTGCTATTTCTTGGGGGTCCAAGAAACAAACTTGCTTGGCAGATTCAACTATGGCTGCTGAATTCATAGCTTTAGCTTCTTCGGGCAAAGAAGCGGAATGGCTAAGAAATTTTTTGTATGATATGCCCTTGTGGTCAAAACCTATGTCACTTATCTCAATTCATTGTGATAGTGAAGCAACATTGGCAAGGGCATATAGTCAAGTTTACAATGGTAAATCGAGGCATATTGGTTTACGTCATAGTTATGTTAAAGGTCTTATTCAAGATGGTGTCATAACTGTGGATTTTGTGCGCTCAAGTCAAAATTTGGCCGATCCTTTGACTAAAGGACTTGCAAGAGATTTGGTTAATAAAACAAGTAAAGGGATGGGCCTAAAGTCCATTGTGATCACCAATGATGGAACCTCAACTTGACACTTGTGATTACCCTCGAGTCTTAAGTTCAATGAGTTAAAGTACGTTATTTGTGTGGTTGAAGAGCACTAATCATTGTATTTTTCATCCCGAGAATTATAGTGCTTGTATTAGTTCCCATTTGTATTAAAGTAGGGTGAGCATAGCTCTTAATAAACTTCTAATAGAGTTTATTTGAATTGTAATATAAGAATTGTAATATTTTATTATTTTATTATAATGTGTGCTTATATATTCAAATATTTCTATTATAATACTTTAATGGGAGTATTGTGAAGTTTACCTAAGTGAGCGTAAAGTTTGGCCGCTTTAAGGAGTTTTAGGACTTTTAACTCCGAGGCGCTCATGATTGGATACATAACACATGGCTTTTTTAAATGTGTCGGCTTTTTTCTAGATTTTAAGGGAATTAAAATCTTGTATGTAATTTGGATTTAATTAGTCAAAGAGGATCACTGGTTCAAAGCATAGTCTACCATGTCATCCTGACTATTTGAAAACAAATTTACTAAGTAAAGGTTCAATCGTAAGACACCTTTATTTATGCATAAGGTTTTCAGAGTTTCCATTAATTTTGGAAATGGTGGGGGATTGTTGGAATATTTCCAATAATAATGTTATGTGTGAGAGGTTATCCCACATGGAAAAAGTAAGAAGGCAATGTATTGTTTGTATTGTAAACAATTAGATATGAGTTATGAAATGGGCCAAGTGGTGTTTTTGGACAAGTGGGCTAAGTGGCTTATATATATTTATAATCAAAGACTTAGCACTTAACACTTGGCCACTTGACACGGACACAGAAATTAAAGCCTAATACGATAATTAATTTTTGTCGGTTTATTCTTTAACTCTGACTATTTAATTATATATTATTTAATATTTAATTAAATTGTAAATTGAACAGTTAACGGCTCATTCTTATCTTTTCGGATAACTGCCAATATTTGATCTATTTAAGATCAATTATGGATGAATTGATGTTCATCCTGTTCTTCTCCCCTTTTCTCTGTTTCCCCCAAAAACTCTAGGGTCTCATGATCGTTTGTACTAAACGCTCTTGAGTGTATATCTTTGTATCCCAAAAACGTGTTCATCATAGCCTTGTTAGTACGGTGGGGCGAATAACGTTTTTAGGAAAGTGTTCTTCGTACACGCCTAGATCCATTATTTGTTTTTGTTGTTCCAATCAATTTTTCAACCAACAGTCCTTAGGCCTTGTTTCACCGGTGGAGAGACCCTTTGAACGAACAAACCCTTCCAAGCGAAGGAGGGAAACAGCGTCGGAGTTGACGATCTGAAAATTCCCCTCGAAACCTTTGTAAACTAGGATATGCTCACACTAACACCACAAATTAGGATTAAAAATCCTCAAGAAAGAAGGGGTTGCCTTCTTCGGCTTTTAGAGTGTGAGGAAACCACCTTAAACAAGAAGGGGAAATGAAAAGAAAGGAGAGGAGAAGCAGAAGAAAAGAGAAGAGAAAGAAAGAAGGGGAGGAGGCTTGCCGGAGTACGGCCGCGGCGTCGGAACTCTGCGAGCTCCAAGGGTTTTAAAATGGAGGAAACTGAAACCAGAGAAGAGAGGATTTTAAGAGAGGAGAGAGAAGCGTTTTTGATATGATTGTTTTTAAGAGAGGAGAAACTGAGGATTGCATAACTTAGAACTAAGGAAGGTGAAAAGGCAAAATTGGATTCTAAATTTGAGGAGTGAGGAAGGTTTAAGTCTTTGCAAATCTTGAGTTGGTTTTTGAATATTGCAATTGGCGTGGCAGAGAGTGAGAGTCCGAAATCGAATGCTTGAGAGAGACAAACAAGATTAATTTATTTATTTTTATTTGAAAAAATTTCTGTTTTCTTCGTGGTAGCTATTAGCTTCTGCATGGTATCTATGTTCTGGTGGATAGTTTTGTTACAGGTGTAGTGCGAATGTCCTTTCTGTTCGCTCTAGTGCTCTTATTTCAATAGGGAAGTGGTCAAAAGAACCATTTTTTGTCACATAAGTCCCATATAGGATGTCTTGTTTTCTCAATATCAGATATAATATTATTTGTACTGATTGGTTCATATATGGATGTTTTGGACTGCAAACCTTTGGTTTTTCCTTTTGACTGATCTATAGACTTCTTGCTATTAGTAGCAGAATGCATTATCTTGCTGAGGGAATTAAGGAACAATGATGTCGATGCATCTGAAGTGCATAGGTCATAAAGAATTTTTAAATGTGTTACCTTGAAATTTGATTGAACTAGAGAAACTACTCGGATCATTATTATTAATTTTTTTTTTTTGAATAAGTTAAAAGGAAATATTATTAACAACTCAAAACAAATACTTCGTACAATCAAAACTCTGCCAACTGAAGCAGACTGTACAACATCATCAGACAAACCAGGGAAAACAAAACGAATGTTTGAACCAATTCATGTTATTCCTGCTGGTC